AGTCCTGTGGCACCTTTAAGACTAACAGAAGTATTGGAGCATAAGCCTTCGTGGGTGAATGCCCACTTCGTCAGACGCATGTCATGCGTCTGACAAAGTGGGTATTCACCCACGAAAGCTTATGCTCCAATACTTCTGTTAGTCTTAAAGGTGCCACAGGACTCTCTGTTGCTTTATACAGAGATGTGTGGACCATGGTCTATATAAGCACCCATATGGGGCACTAACCCACAATAGGGACTTTTTAGGGTGGTATGTTATTTTATTTCCTATTTTGAAAAAGGTAAAAGAAATGGATTTCTAAGGAACAGAACAAGAGAAACAATCTGCACTAGGGAACTCTCCAAAGCCTGCTGATGCCAATGGAGGGTCTTTCCACTGACCTCATGGGGCTTTGGACCAGGCAGTAGATATTCGCCAGGTCTAAATTTACTTAATGTAACTTCTTCAAGGCAGCAGGGACTTGTCAATTACATTTCTGTAACATGCTCTGGTGCAGTGTGGATAACATTCATTATTATTAATTGCAGCACGTGTGTTTTAAATACCACTTGGAGCAAAAAAAGATGTCTACAATTCAGTATATCACAATTCTCAGTGCCCTAAATACAGTGACTCTCTGTCTCCTCTCTGTCTTGATGTCTCTTCCCTCTAGGGACCTGAGATCCTCAATGACCCTCTACCATGAAGTTCCTTTACCTTCTCTTTGTTGTTCTTGGTGCTCCAGATTGCTTCAGGTAAAATGTAAATAAAATCTAGGGATAATATAGAGGGTCATTTCTGAGCTTAGAGTTCAGTTGCCTAATTCTTTCCATTAAACTTCTTCCAGTTCCTTCTCTGAAGACTACTAAAGCCTCCAAGGGTTGCAGCAGAAATGTGAAATTTGATAGGTGAACAGCCCTGATGCCAGGGAGGTACCTTTGCTGCATCCATGGAAATCCATTCAGATTTGGTTAAATTCTGAACTAACAAAAATAACATTCCCAGCTGTGTTTTCCTCAGCAGAGCTTAGATGCTTGTTGCTAAAAAAAACACCCAACATTCGATCTGCACCTCACGGCACCAGGAACTTTATATACTTACGTTTGGAAAAGTTATAAATAATTGAAAACAGGGTCAAATGAAAAAAAGTGTCTACTAACCTCAATTTTAGGTGTTGCTACCTGCACCACCTATAACGTCTAACTAATTCTAACAAAGGTAACAAAGCATTTGATTTATATTGAAGAAGGTGATAAATTCGAAGCCAATATGAAGTGAAAATTTGTAAGGTGAACTCAACTAAAATGTAATAAGGCCTAGACAACAACAAAGCTTAATCAGCCTTTTGACTGGTGCAAAACCAGATTACATTGTTATTCTTAACTGTTAGTATTTTTAAACTTCTGTTGCAATCCTACTAATTTACAAATGAAATGTAGAAATTCCCCAGCTACTGGTACAGTGCCGTGTAGAGCAATTTGTCTAACTATTGATTTAATTGTAATAAACATTATAAGTAATGAATGAGTCAAATGACTTTATATTGCAGCATGCTAGCTATAAAACACATACGAATCATCAAGGAATGTGAAAGGACTTTACATAAAACATCTCTCTTGCCTTCAAAATGGACATTTCTGCTGGAAGCTCAAACTGCTAATGGAGAAATTGTTACTTGGGGAAGGACACAGAGTCATGTCAAGTTGGCCAAGGAACACACCACAGAGAGGCCAACGGAAAGGGGCCTGAAGAAGTAAGTTGCTGACCAGAGCTAAACCAGCAGGAGTTCGTTATATGTCCCAAGACATTTTACACAAACCTCTGTGGCCTAATGTGTCTTGCACAATCTGGGATGGCACAAGATGTTTTGCACAAAGACCATGAAGTTTTCCACGGACCGAGTTGCAAGAATTCCAATATCCTAATTATGGTTGGACATTTCAAATCTTCTCCAGAAGCAGGGGTCACTTTCTGATTGGCCCACAGCAGCTTTGCCAAGAAGAAAACAAGCCTTCAGAAACTGTATAAAACAGGCTGTTCGGTTCAAAGCCTCACTCCCTGAAGCTCATAAATCTTGATCAGAGAGACGGTGAGCAGGACTGTCATCACCTGGCTACTGAGAGCATCCCCTTTCTGGTAACTATTAAAGTCGCTTCCCTGAAAATCACCCCATTAACTCTTCCTTTAAAGTCCTGTCTAGGGAGATGGCTGTGTAATCCAGAAAGAGAACAAGAATGCAGATGTTGTAATCTTCAGAAACTACCCAGAGCTACTGTGAGGCTGAACCAGAGAACACACCTTCATGCCAGTTTTAATGGATAAGTAGCAGTAATACATGTGTTGTATTTGCCCAAATGAAAACATGGTAATTTTAAAGCTACCTGAGTTAAAACCATCTACAGGATAATGCCAGTTATTTGAATTCCCTTTATACAGAAATCCTGGTTATCTGAATGCCCAGTGTGTTCCCCTTGTAGTGCTGTGTTAGTTAATCACCCTCTGATTAACATTCATGCTGTGGGAACTGCAATTTGAGGGATTTCTGGAGTTAGGGATGAGAAAAGGGGAGGAGAATGAGAGGCAAGGTAGGGGAGGAGAGAAAAGATGGGGAAGAGGGAGAAAAAGAGCAAACAGGCAAGAAAGAAACAGATGAAGGGGTTAAGGTGAAGAGTGAAAGGAAAAGGGTTCAAGGAGAGAAAGGACAAAGGGAGACAGGACAGGACTTAAGGGAAAGAGAATGGGTTAAGAAGGAGGGAAATAAAGGTGGGCAGAGAAGGGGATGTAGGAGAGAAAAGGGGAAGGAAAGAAGGAACAGAAAGGGAGTGAGAGTAGCTGCAGGAAACAGGACCCTCCTTGATACTGCTTGAGTACTTCCTGGCCTGACAGCCCCGGGCTCTTTATGCCCCAGTGCAAATAGTGAGGGGTAGGGCCAGCTTCCTGCCCGGGGCTGTCAGTGCTGGGAAATTTCATAAACACGATCATCTAACCATCTTTATTCTTCTTTCTGTAACTTCTTAACTGCTTTAAAATTCTGACTTGGCTAATACAATATGTCAACGTGCAATAATTCTCCACTCCACACTTTGACAAAAAGAGGAAGAAGCTTTGAATTGGCTGGTGAAGGAAAACTATGTTGACGAAATATTCAGATAATGGTAACTTTGAATATTTAGTCACAGTGGCCATAGATACTAGTAAAATTCCAGAGAAATAGGAATCATTTAAATCAGAGGTTCTCAACTAAGGGGATGTGTCAAACTTCCTCAGGGGTAGCAGAGAGCCTTCTAATAATTATACAGGGTCACAATGCCATTCACTCCAATTTAGCCTAGCTTCTCCCCTCCCCCGTTCATGCTGAAGGCGTGCCTGTGTCAAATTTGAGAGGTATTGGGGTGGCTGGGTCCAGTTTGAGTGAGTGACATTGCAACCAGGCACAAAGGGTCGTAGCTGAGGGGCCGCCAGGGCAGACTGGAGTGAGTGGCATTGCAACCCCATGTGCCAGGCTACAAAGGAGGGGAGGGATAGCTCAGTGGTTTGAGCATTGGCCCGCTAAACTGAGCGTTATGAATTCAATCCTTGAGGGGGCCATTTGGTGCAAAAATCTGTCTAGGGATTGGTCCTCCTTTGAGCAGGGGGTTGGACTAGATGACCTTCTGAGGTCCCTTCCAACCCTGATATTCTATGAAAGCCACTCTCTGAAAATTGTCCCTACCTCACAACTATGCATTTGCAACCCTACAAGTGAGCAACTTTGTGACCTGGTGCATTGGTTCACAATACACTTTGAGGCTTTAACTGAGTTTTGAAAATTGTGCAGATATTAATGTATGCACTTTTAAAAAGGTTACTAGGCACAACAAATGCATTAGCAATACTAAGTGCCAATTATTGTAAGTGGGGGGGCTGGGAGGGGGATGCTAAGGTGGGGCATGATTCAAAAAAGGTTGAGAACCTCTAGTTTAAATCATTCTCTATTTGGAATTCAATGCGTGATAACTAATTGAATTGTCATTCTTAATACTTAAATAACTGCTTGGGTGAACTGCCCATAATTCCACTGGCAAACAACATGAATAGAAATGGATAAGAATCTGCATTAAAGAAGTCATAGTTCAGTTTTGGTACCAAAGTCACCTGCCCAGTGCAATACAGAACTAAGGTAAAGTTTGCCAATGTAACAAGACTGTGATAAGACCTAGAATGAATTGATGTGATTGATTAATTCTTGGTTAACTGTAACATCACATGATGAATTCGTTCTTATAAATTCCATAAACATGAGCATCCAACCATCTTTGTTTCGCTTTCTGTCATTTCTTAATTCTTTTCCATTCTGTTTTTGCAAATAAAATACATAAATGTGCAATAATTCTCCAATCTGTATTTTGGCTCAGGGAAACAAGATTTCCATGATAACCCAAAAATAAGTAACTGCTTAATTACAGTTATTTACGAAACATCTGTTTTTAAATGTATCTTGCATCACACAATTGTATATCTCTGAAGTCCTCCTAAGAGATAGATCTAGGATGCTGTCTAAAATACAATCATTATTATTGCTAGCAGATTGCAGAACACATATTATAATTATGATATACTGAGTTCTAGAAATATTGTTTTAATTTAAATGACAATCTCTACTCTCCAACAAATACAGGGACTTTGTCTCCTCTCTGTCCTGGAATCTCTTCTCTTCAGTGACGCTGAGTTCACAGCCAATCTTCAGCCATGAAGATCCTTTACCTGCTCTTTGCTGTTGTCTTCTTGGTGCTCCAGGGTGTCACAGGTAAGATGCAAATGAAAATGAGGAATGATATAGAGGGTCATCTCTGAGCCCATACTAAAGTTGCGTAACACTTTCAATTATCAGAGGGGTAGCTGTGTTAGTCTGAATCTGTAAAAAGCAACAGAGGGTCCTGTG